ATAAACCGAATATCAGTAGCAAAAGAGTAATCATTATAAAATCCAATACTTTAAAATAAAGGCCCATGTTTCGATAATAAAGTCAACTTGCATGATAAAAATATTACAATCAGATGTACTTCAAGAAATACGTTGATCCTCCAAGTGATTGATCCGAGTATCTAACCAACATTATCTGAAAGGGGGAAAACATTTTGAAAAGTGAGCTAGGCTCAGTGTGTCCCATTATTTAAGTAAAAAACATCATATGAAAAACCATAAATTATAATCCTGTCAAGTATCATGGAAATCCTAATAAAACATAATATATTAAATCATATAATATACCCTCCTCACGTACACCATATGCAGTTCTCAGAACTGTGTCCATGGGGCAACCTTATACCCATTAGTATAGGGGGCCAACCTAAGGGAACATCTTGGGGCCCTTAAGCCTACCCAAGTGTCACCTTAGTCCGTAAGGATTTACCAACTTGATCAAAGATGTACCTCCATACTCCAGCCTACCCAGATAATATCCCCATAACATATTTCAAATAACAAGTAAAGATTTCCATGATCCCTATCTGGTAAAATAATACCGTCAATTGAAACCAATTATTCAAATATCATATATAAAGTTCCATCATAGTTCATGAACCATCATCCATTGAATCATAAATTACAATGAATTATATATATATTTATCAAACTAGTTAAAACCATCAAATAGTACTTAGGGAACACCTCGATAATAGGGTCAAACTGTAGATCTATTGCGTACTGGCCTCGCCACAATCTGCTATAGTTTTCAAACCTAATTCATAACAATAATATATTACTAGTGGGTAACATAATTAACTTATGAAATCATAAAATTTACAGGTCATACGAGTGAATACTGGCACACACGGTCTAATAGATTTAGAGGAGTTGGGTCAAGTTGTCGCACGATCAGGAGTCTATTGTACCTTCAAACAATAATAATTATCAGTCCAAAGTCTTACTTTAATCATTCCAAGCTAAAACTCTTAAGTACATATGCATTTTCGGGTTTGACTGATAATTTGGAGGCTTCCAGGTTTGAATTTGGCAAAACGGACTGCGGAATCGAAATCAGGACGTTGAAAAACATAAAATATGGCTTTTCAAAAATTTTAACTTTTTGGTTAAAAGTCAAAGTCAACGGGTTTGACCGACTATGTCGAGGCTTTCGACTTCGAATTTTGAAACATCGGATTCGAACTCAGGACATCAAAAAACATAAAATATGACTTTTAGAAAATTTAACTTTTTGGTCAAAGTAAACGATCAACGGTTAACGGGTCGGGTTAGGTCGGTTCAGACCAGTCAAACCGTTTTTAATGCATCCAAACTGCGGCAAAGCCTTCCCCATGTGCAGTGGCGGTACGTGGGGATGTGTGGGACCTACTCCAACGTCAAAAAAATTACAAAAAAAATTCTAAAAATAATTTAAGCGATTTTGAGGCACTTACAAAGCTCGGTCCACAATTTTGAAAGGTAGATAGCTCGATTTCCACAAATATAAAACTTTGATCGCTTCACCTCCCTCACGAGCCGCCGTCGACGAGGACAAGGAGGACGCCGACGAACTCAAAACGACACAAAGAACACGATGGTGCGGGAGGTGTAAAAAACGGAGCAACGATCGGCGGAGAATTTAATTTTCCCGGCGGTGGTACTAAAAAGGTCAAAACTTTGAATCAAAATTCACGACGTTTGACAATGTTTTACTTTAATTGAATTACAGGGTTTTGTTCACGGGTCGAAGACGAACACAATGGTGGTTTTGAATCGATGATCGGAGGTCGGACGATGTCGGGATCGAGTTTGAAAGCAAGGGTGCGGGAGGAGGAAAAATAAGCAATTGGTTTATGATTTTGAAATCAGAAACGCATTGCACTTATTCAAGAACATATTCTGTCGACACTTAAAGTTATAATTTAGGGTAAGATCCCTAAATTTCCTTCAACTTCTACAATGACCTATAAATTTTAGAAACTTTTAATTAAATCCCCAAATTACTTAAATATACTATTTTTATTTTTTTCAGGTTGTTAAAACACGCACTTCAACAAACTTTGCATACATCTCCTTATTGACGCCTGAATAATGATTTTGAGAATCAACTATCATTTCAACATCATCATTGTTCAATAATTCGAACGCTGTATATGTTAACGAAAACAATGATGTTGGAAATCTGTACTGAAGCGACAACAATCTTCTAGTACTTCCAACAAGAACCTTCCTTGAAATCTTTGTTATCAGCTCCTCAAGAGTTATGTTTCTCTTGAAGGATATTTTAACAGAATGATTTGATATGAATACAACGTCGGTTTCATCTTCCGGAATTTCTCCATCATAATAAACAATAGCTGAAATTCACGTGATTTTAGACTTTGAAAGGGAGACAGTCTTGTATCTGCAAAAAAAACCCTGAAACAAGCCTAATTAATTAAATAATATATGAATTAAAATATAACACAATAATTTTTTTACAAATAAACGTAAATAATTTAAATAATATAATTTTATATTATTACCGTATCAGAAAAAATATTTTGATGTATGCTCCTGCTTTCCAATTTTACAACCACAAAAATAATTGAAAATAATTAGTATAATATATTTTTTCAAATAATCATATATTAAAAATATTATATATTAAAAAAATTTCCTTACAACGAAAGATCGAACGAACTTCTGAATCAAAGAGAAGATTATTGTCGGGCGATGTTTACGAGTTGAGAGGATTATTGTGTGATGTTTTTGGGTTGAGAGGATTGTTGTGTGATGTTTTCGGGTTGAGAGGATTGATGTGTGAATGTTTATGGGTTGAGAGCATATCATTTATAGTCGAGAGAAAAGTTTAAAAGCTGAGAAATACGATAATTAAAAAGGCGCGACCCATGCACCCGCGATAGTAAGGCGCGACATGCACCGCGCCTTACCCCATGTGGTGCCACATCAGTGTAAGGCACAGTGCATGGGCCGCGTCTTTCTGCAAAGGGTGTTAGATCCGTAATATTTAGGGGTGTTCAAAATTCGATTTTAACCGAATTAACCGACCGAACCGAATTAGTTCGGTTAATTCGGTCGGCCACCGAATTAATTCGGTCGGGGAACGATTAAGGATTTTTTTGGAATTCGATTAACAGTTAATTCGGTTCGAAATTGGTTAATTAACCGAATTAACCTTTAAATATAATTATATTAAGAGGCCCAATCCATTTAAAATTTATTTAAAACCCAAATCAATATCAATTAATTAAAATAATATCAAAACTAAATGCAAAATGTTTGAATCAAATTAATTAGATATTATTTATAATTAGATATTATTTAAATTAATTGTAAATTGTTTTTTTAATTAAAAAAATATTAAATTCTAAAATTCTAAAAAATTTCGGTTAATTCAAAATTAATCGAATTAACCGAAATTTATTCGGTTCGGTTAATATTTTTGAAAAAAAGTTCGGTTCGGTTAACGGTAAAAGAAAAAAAAAGTTCGGTTAATTCGAAAATGGTAGTTCGGTCGGTTCGGCCACCGAATTAACCGAATGAATACCCCTAGTAATATTTTCTCTAACGGTGTCTGACACGTAAATAATTAAAAAAATGTGATTTTTTGGGAAAATCACCATTTAAAAGTTAAGTAATTAAATTAAAAAATTAAACATCAATGACTAAAATAGGAGTGAGAAGATGATTGAGTGACGAATGATGTAATTTACATTGAAAAAAGTATCATGTTGTAACGGTTTCGCTAAGTTTTTAAAGATTAGGTACTAGAACGAAACAAAAACTAAATGTTAGTTATGATTTTGAAATAAATGAAAGTTTAGGTACTAAAATTAAATAAAAGTAATTTTTAATAATAAATATATAGTTTACCCATATATCAAATTGAGGAATTAGGGGTTGCTAGCTATCTTATTTTCATTGTGAAAAACAAAGGAAAAGTTTGCCGCGTGAAATACAAAAGAGAAAAAACCCTATCGCTTATTCTTCACTGTGGCCGCCGCCGCAATTCAGTTGTCCGTCGCCTGAATCATCGTCGTAGTTCGATTGTAGCTGTTGTATCCATGTCCGATTGTGTTTTCTCCATTGAAGGTTTTGTTGATGCGTTTGTGTGGTTGACAGTCGTTTTCCGCTGATTGAGAATAAACGCTCATCCACCTCCGTCGTAGTAGAGGTTTCAATTCAGTTACTAGGGAGGCCGTCCAGGTAACTGTGGTTCTGTTGCCCAGTGGTTCTTTGGAGATTTATGCTTTCGAAAACAATAAAGAAAAGAAATGAAAACAGAATGCAAGTTATAGTGGAAATAAAAGAATAAGATAATAAAGTAATATTAATTGATAATTACCGATTCCTGGAATGCTTGTCAAATTCCAGTTCTTAGATCTTTTGAAATTTTGTAAAATGATACTAATAAACAATATATTTATTTATTATTTTACAGTAATATGCCATATTTGTTGCAAATGTTTAGTACGGTAAGTGAGGAATTACAGATTTGGAATTTAGTGGAAGAGGGGAAAAGTAAATATTAATATGCTAGATTGAAAAATATATATATAGAATACTGGAAAGTTGTAATGTTAATTTAAGAATTTGGGGTTATACACGAAATAATAATACTTAAAATTATTTGGTAGGATCGAATTGAGCAGGATCTAATGTCGTAACAAATCTTGGATAAGTGCCGCACTGTAGGTGTTAATTTCACAATCGAATAAGGTGTGTGTCTTTCCCGTATTTATTTAAGTAGGATATGAATGTTAGATAGTCGATTGGTGGTTGTTTGTTGATTATCTGTTTGATGGAGTCATGTGGTTGATTATATGACTATTACGATGATGTGATGGTATTGTTAATGAACTCTTATATATGATTTTCGTTGAGTTATATATGGTATTATCATGCTTCACAATTCACATGTACATGCATTAGGTGAGAGAGTAGTTATCGCCGTCTGTTAAGATATGTTATGCCATCAATTCCGTTGTTTCCAATCATTATGCTGCCAACAGTTTCGTTTAGTTTCAGCATGAACCAATGCATGGAAATGCAACTTTCCGCCGTTTTCCTTTATTTTTTTAATTTGTATTGTTAAGCGGATTTTTGTTTTGTTATCTTTTTATTCAGTGTGTTGGTTGCGAGTGGGATAATTGAATTGATTGAGAGAGCGCTGTGAGGTGAAAGAAAAAGGAAGAAAAATGAGTAGGCTATCGTTTAGGCCACGCCCATTGGACATACACAAGAAGCTACCGATTGTTAAGTCAGTGAAAGACTTCGAAGACGATGACACTCCTACTTCCGCTACTCGTAACTCTCAAATGCTGCGTCTTGCTGCTGTTGAGGTCGAAACGGAGGTACCCTTTTTCACATCTTTACTTTTCATAACTCAAATTTACTCGCATTTTGTAATCTCAAGGTAATGCAAAATCCTGCAAATTGGTTTTAGATTAATAAATTTGCTTTTTTATATAAATGCAGCTTCTTGGAAAGCAGTAATAGAAAATTAGAGCTTCACAACAATGAGACTATTTTTGTTCAAAAACTTCACATGATTTGGCATTGTACAGGCTGTTTTTGTTAAACTATTTTTTTTTGGATAGAAGTTGGAGGTCTCATTAAAATCTCCCTTCGTATTCGTTCACATACTAAAGGTATGTTAACATTGGAAGGAAGAAAAGTAACTTAAATTTATTGATAAAATACCCAATACAAAACACACACAAATATCCTCTCATGGTGATGTACACCATTACATACACCTTAACCCATATAACCTCATCCAAAGCCACAGTCTAATCACCTTACATCTAATTACACCACAGTAGGAATAAAACAACGCAACAAAACATATTACAAATTAAAAGCAACACCTACAACCATATAGACTAACACAACCACAATTGAAGAGACAAGATCTAATGGGACTCGTCTTCTTCAGGAGCCCAAGAGTTTGGTTTGAACGAAGGCTCTATCACATGCACCATGACCTTGAAGAAGTTGTCACCAACCTTCAATTCCACCATCGCATCAATTCTCGCAACACCTTTGTGAGGACTTGAATATTGCCCGATCAAAGGATGGAGACTGACAACTTTCGCGATAGCTAGTAATAAACCCCACTTATCAGCAATGTTCTTGAAAGTATCCCAATTCCATGCGTGAAAAACACCCTCGCAAACTAACATACTCGACGACACTCCATTACCAAACTCTCTGACCAAGCTTCGACTAAGGAGAACCACTCTGCGAGAATCTTTGATTTATCGTTCTTCACACTTCTCAAAGAAGCATTTTCTTTGAAAATCATTAAAATCGCATTACCAGCAGCTCTCATTAAGGTGAAGCCAGTGAGGCCCTTCGCTTGCATTTGTCTGGCGAGATGACCAATTTTGACAAAGTCCTGCACCACCCCACTAACAATTGCTCAACACTTGAAGTTTTTCTTCATCTATAACTCCTTCAACTTTAAAATGATTCTTCCTCGAAACATCTTCCATCCCGGACTTGCGAAGAACACCTGTCGAGGACTTTCTCCAATAAGAATGTCGAGGTTTGAATTTAGCAAAAGAAACACCAATTTTGATGCCGTCGATACGAGAGCCATTCATTTTTGAGATCGCTCTCCTTGATTCTTCGATTGATGCGAAGCGAATAAAACCAAAGCGAACTCCTTTTGAATTCCTTTTATTTGGGATAAAAGCATCAAGTACTCGACCATGAGAGCAAAATAAAGATCCAAACCTCTCCTAATGGATCTTCTCTGGTAAATTTTCAACAAATTATGTGAAGCATCCAGACTTGTCAACTCTGCACCCCTTTGTGATTGACTCCCTGGATCCCTCGTGTACACCATTTACTGCAGACTTGTCATCGCAACACACCGGTATAACAGGCACATGAATACTAGATGCTACAGAAGCTGGATTTGGCAATGGCAGTACTGGAGGAACATGAGAACCTCCATACTTGTCCAAAGCATCAAATCTGTAACTACTACTCAACAACAAGATTCTTCCTTGCCATCTCGATGTGCAATAGGGACTTCAACTTAGCATCAAAAACCATTTTCTGAAGGGCATCATTGGCAGCAACTGCAAATTTAACAGTTGAGAAGAGAGCGAAACCCTTGGGCTTATCTCCCTTGAAGCTCAAATGCGAATCTTCAAAACCTGGAAGCCATCTCAGAAAATTCTGCAGCTCTCTCTCTTTGACAGCTTCAGGCATACCCATAATGAAAATAGTGCGAACTACATCATGATGAGAAGGGTGAGATGACAGAGAATGCGCAGCTGCAGAGGGTGGAGGAACTTGGACCGGAGTTCTTTGCTGAAGATAAGGAAGGATTCCAGCACCCGACATGTGATGAAACTGATGAAGTAAAAAATCCAGTGACCAAACGAAATTCCTGCAAGCTCGGCGATGGAATGCTGTGACTGCCGGCGAAGAAAAGAAGGGTGGAGGTGATGAAGAGATTCCAACAGGAAAAACTTAAGTCTGAGGAAAGAAGAAGCTGTGCAGAAGACCTTCAACTAACCATCAGAGATGGTTTAGAACGGGAGAACACCTTGATAGAACCAAGGCTGTTCTGTTTTTGACTAACCGGACAAAGAAAGAATCTCAGATGATGACAGCGAAGTCCGGACGCTAGAAGAAGGGATTAGTTCACAAGAGAGCGACGAGCCTAGTGGAATGAGGGTGAACTGGAGACGGACGCCGGCGTAAATCGATGAAAAACGGCGTTTAGATCTGCGCCGATTGAATGACTTTCTCGTAAATCTGATCTGGAAAATGGAATCAGAGTGAGGAGACGATCTTCCAGAGGAAAAACGACGGCCAACAGATGACGGAGTGTGGCGTCGGACGGCTGTCGGCGGACGTCGGACGGCGATGGTAAAGATGAAATGATGAATGAAGAAAAGATGAATGAAAACAAAAACACCTTGAAACCAAGAGAGAAGCGGGAGCTTCTCTCACTAGGTTTGAAATTCAAAAGGTAGATTTTAAACTATTTTCAATCCTGTGGTTCTCATAGCTCAAAGTCACTTGCAATCTGTAATCTTAAAGTTTCTGGAAAATCAATAATAGAAGTTTGAGCTTTGCAACAGTTGAGGCTATTTTTGTTCAAGAACCTTAGTATGAATTATCATCATACATTATGTCTCTGGCTTTGTTTGGTTGATGCTTTTGCTAGTTGGTTCCCACTTCTTAAAAGTTGCTTGAACCGAAAGAAGTTAAATAACAACTCATGATGGTTCTTGAAATGGCCAAGTAAATGTTACTCTAATTGCAACATGATTGGTTTATATATAAGTAAAATTGTGCATTTGTTATCTAAAAGATAATAACTATTATCCTTCAAAAGTATGTTGTTTCTCTTCTGAACACGCTTTTTGCTTTGCTTATGAAAGCAAGGCATGCAGCAAAAGTATGAACCAAACAAAGCTTAAAGAATTTAATTAATGATAGGTAGTTGTATGGTTTTTAGGAACGTGTTTAAAGACTATGAAGTTATGTTGATTTGAAGTTTTAATTGTAGTGCTACTAGCCCAGAGAATGGGTTCACAACTTTTTACTCAATGATTTATTATTTCAACAAGTAAAAATGCAGGCATAGTCAAATTACTCTGGACATTTTTAAGAACAGTATGCTATTGCGCAGATTTCTCAAGGATGACTCTTGTTTTTTGTAATTTCTCACGTCTCTATGCTATCAAGGTTATTAGTATCCTACATATTAAAATTTGTCCATTTAAATAGATGTGTTTTTTTAGGTACAACCAATCGCAACCAAGAAACCGGGTTCTGAAATACCTACACCTCAGTTTGTTGTTGTCGATACATATGAAAGAGATTATTCTCGCACGTTCTTTCAATCCACATCCTATTTACGAGCAAGGGGAGGTTTGTGAAATCAGAAAGATTCCTTTCTTTATTCTCAAAAGCTAATTTGGATGGTTCTTTTATTGTGATAAATCAATTGGTGTTAGCATTCTAAAAGTCTGTTCTATCATCTCCAGCCCGGGGTGAGATTGGAGAGTTTGTTGAGTATGATCTTGATAACGAGGATGAAGATTGGCTTCAAGACTACAACAAATAAGAAGATTCTTGCACCTGAAATGTAATTAGTAAATCTTGATTTTACTATTTTTTTTTCAGTTCAGTTAGATGTTCTGAGTAGACATTCACCTGATATTTCCAGCAAGATTGTTTTATTAACTCTTCCTTGTTTTCTTCCTTTATTCCTTGAGTAAGAATTGTGGGAAGCCATATAGAGTGTTAAAGTTGTCTAAATCTGAGCATGGAGAAGCTTATTTAGCTGATTTTATTTAATCTATGAATATCTAAAGAAGTGTTCAAAATTTATCTCACTTATTTAAACTGTATGGGGATCCAGTATTCTTTCACATGAATTTCTCAATCATTTGAATGATCTAGGACTTCTTTGAATTTTATACATGATGTTGTTTTAGTTGCATGAATCGAGTTTTTATATAAGAGATTGCTGATTCACTTGCTTTAACCAGCTATGAACTAGAAATATCCATCAGCTCTTTCTGCATGTAAGCACATTTTGATGCTTTCGTTTGTTTTATTACTTCAATTTTATACGGGTATGCCTGCCGAAAGCAGGCATAATTTCTTATTTGGTTTCTTCATGGCCAGCGAGAGCTGATTCTACTTGTTTTTTTTTCGTAAATATAGTGCTATATTAGATGGATGATTACCACACCAAGGGAAGGTGTTCTCATGGTCTTTGGCAGATTCACCCTAAATTTTATCTATTTATACAATCTCAAATCAGTCAAGTGTGATTTACTCCCATATCTGCTTATTTAATTCTGCAGTCGTGCTTGATAATGCAGGTGGAGAGTCTTCTTTTTAAGTTGGAGGTGTTGGATCATAAATCTCGTGAAAGAGCAGGAGTTATAACACCTACACTTGTTTCACCAATTGTGCTGTTGACAATGGATGCTGCTATGAGGTGATATTTTGTTTATTATGCAGAAGCTGACGGGTTAGGTTTTTATTTATTTTTATGTATCCCATATCTATGCTCATCACACCGTGGATTATATTAATTTTCAACATTTAGAGTTTCCATACTTAAAATGGCCATCTAATAGGCTTCAATGATCTTTATGAAATTACATTTGATAAGTGTAAGAGACTCACTTGATTATCTTAATAGAGAAAACCATCCTG